TTACACGTATTTCAACGTCGTCAGATTCGCATGACGGTCGGCCGTTTTGTCGTGCACGTATTTATCGCTTTATAGATTAAAAAAAAAAAAAAAAAAAAAACGTGATGACGTAATAGACGCGTGTTTCCGAAATTCCAGCTTGAGAAATTAAAAACTTCAAAAAGTAAAAACAAAAAAATATTTGGTCAGGATTTTTATTTTAGTTCACTGGGATTTTCAATTGACAGTGAGACTTGAAAACACCAACTAATTCTCCTTTTCTGTTGCATATATTCAGTTTGGTGAACACAAAGTAGGTCTGTCACAAAAGTATTGTGCTTACAACATAACAAACGTAATGCCAATGTTAAAGAATTACTCACACCAATAAAGGATCAAAATAACTTTTAGCACTAAGTGCGGGGACAGTTAAAATGACTGAAGCCTATCAATTATTAATTATTAGTTTTATTGATAGTTATCACAAAGTTTAGGCGATGTAGCAATTTTAATTTGTGACTTCTGCGGACGCACTAATCATGCAACAAAAATATTAAAAAAGTGCAAGGGGTGAAGTGTGACATTATGTCAAATATTATGTACGTACGCATATTGCGCGCGCTGATGAAGACTGCAAAAGCGCTACATTTTATATTCTTCAGCGCATCAAAAGTTAAAGCTTGTACACGTATACTGTTCAGGCTGTCATGTTTGCATTTTCATAGTACTTTATTGCAATGAGACGTAGTGTAAGATGTATCTCCTGATTGCTTGCAATAGAACAAATGGGAGCATTCTAACTTTAGGCTGCTGAAGAAAAAAAAATAACATGCTGACGGCTGACAATCTTTTCGGTTAAGCCACAAAGCGCGCACTGACAGCGAACTTTCGCCACGTGGTTTTGCACCGTCATGGTTGTTCTTGACAGACGACAACGTTTACACACGCGAAGGGAAAAATCTGAACATTCTGCGTTGATTGTACCACACATAGCCAATGGTGTAGGTTTTTTTTGTTTTTTTTTTCTAATCCGATTTGATTCTCAGTGTAAACTATAACCAAATCAATATTGATAAACAAGCGTTAAAAGTGATTGGCACTGTGCATATTTATAAGGCAAGCTCTTTTTCACCGTAAGTGGGGTCCATATCGTTTCGTCGAAACACGTTTCGTGGAAAAGTTTTCATGGACGCACAATACATTGACATATTTCATGAACATACTACGTTTCATCGACACTTGAATGTTTCGTGGAAACTTGTTTTGTAAACATATAAAACTGCAACGTTTCGTCGACAACGTATCCTTTTTTGCTAAGTGGATTGATTTACTGGCTTCATTTGGTTCACTGGAAGGTTACCGGAACCAAAGCAAACTCACTCAGACGGCTCCGATAGGGTAAAAACAAATTCGCGAGTGCAGATAACGGGCTTTCAAACACTCTTACACTACGCGTGGAAACCCCTCACTTCGCTCGGGGAAACTTTAGTATAATCTGAGGCCCGAGCTTTCACGAGCCCTCATCGGAACAGCCATGGATTCGGCCAGCTATAGGCCCATCTAGAGGCGGCGATAGAGGCGATGTGCGCGGACAGACGATTTCAACAAAACGTCGCAATATCCGTCAATGAAACGATCGTGGGGGAACCTTTCGATGAAACGAATTGTGGATGGTACGTCGCAGTATACGAAACAATCTGTCGATGAGACGTCGTTCGACGAACTGATGGCCACCACTCGGCAGGCTCGTTCAAAGCACGAAACTCGATTTGTAGCTTTTGCTGTGCTGAAATGCCCACAATATATTTTTTTTTGTGAAATGTCGAAATATCGTTATTACCGCAAAGGTTGTGTAGTTTGTGCATAATTTTGGGGATATGTGCCTCACCTTCTTTTCTCATGGCAGCTTCAGTAAAGGTCGAGTGACTAGTCTTGGCAGGGGCTCCAAATACACGACAAAAATAACAATCGCCGTGTTCCAAACTTTACTCGATCTTACTCCAAGGCAAAGGTTTTGTGCTTTGACGTTCTAAAACCTACCCGCGTCCAGCGTTTTTCAGTCTTGTCTTATCACGTGACACGACCCGTCGGAGTAACTCGGATTCATTTGGGTAAGATTTGGAACACAGCCGATGTCATCACGGCCGCAACCGTGGCAACCAAATCAAGGAGTTGAAGGGCGAGTTGTCACATTGATCAATCAATCCCATATGGGAATGTCCACCGATCTCTATGACAATTGCTGGGGCGCGCTCCCCGCTTCGCGCATGCGGCCACCGCAACGATCATCTTGCGTGTATCAAAGTCTACCTTTTGGAGCATTGTACAGGTTGGGCGGCAGCGTGCTGAAGACATGTTTTCTGCTTGTTCGCCGTTATTCGCCGAATCATTTTTTTCTTAACCTTGTGTATACGGTTGTAGTTGCCTTTGAAAACACGTGTGAATTTTTACAAAAACGGATCATTGCAAAAAAAATGCACAGTTTGTCAAACGCCAGTTTTGCCGGTCTAGCGGCGTGATCAAAGCTTTCTGTCATGCCGAAATCCTGCTGCACGAGTGCTATCTTGAGCGCACTACTGCGCTACTCACGCACTCGGAAGTCTTTCTAAAATTCATGATTTAGTGGTTTTCAATGACGCTCGGCAAGTTTCTAATTGAAGCCATTTGTCGATTTTCTTTCAGTTCAAAGTTCATTAACAAATATTATTAATTAGCCGACAGATCGTTACGATTGGCCCCCTATACTATGTCACCTTGGCCGTATACCTCACGTGCACATACCGCATAAGTGTAGCTTTCACGGCGATATTTTAAACAAATCTGTTAAGCTTAAAAAATTAAAAAAACTCCCTGTGTAATGAATCTTTTAGAATCTCTATGCAAAATTTATTTGTGACAGAGGTTTTTATCCGCCGCCTTGCTGCTAAGTAATACCGAAATCCAAGGTAAGGAAAGCACAACGTACGTGTGCTTTGAAGGTAACGGTATTTCGTTACATATGCAGAACGGTAACGAATCTCAATAATCCGTTTATATCGGACAAGCAAACGAGTAACGCTATTTCGTTACTTATTCTCGGTAACTAGCACAAGACTGTATGAGGCACAGCCTGAGGCCTCCCTGCCAGCCATCCATAACGTTGAGTTAGGGTTTCCTTATTTACGCCACGTCATGGAAACATCGTAGTAATGTCTTTAGATGCGGAGCGTGCGCCCTCTCGCAGGCGACAGTCCCCCTCCCGAGGGACCTCCATAACCGAGCTGATCTAATAACGTTGCCCCTGGCTCCGCACATTCATTTTGGCAGGGAACGATCGGAGCCAAGGTACACCGAACGCTTTCCTTTGTTTTCAGTCAGAAAAGGCGCCGTGGAATTGAGATGTCTTCTACTTGGACTTATGCCTTAGCCACACGGGCACCCTCAAACGCGGTTAGGTGGGGCCAGACTTAACTGCTGTGTAGGCTGTTCGGGTAACTAGGGCGTAGATGGAAGTAACTGTACGCCACACTTAATCGTAACTGCGGTCTAGGATGCCGATCGCACACCCTTTAGTAACCGCGGTTAAGGTTGACAAGCGTGCTTTTTGAACTAGAGCCTTACTGTTAGTCTGAATGCCTGCGTTAGCCCTCCACCTATTCCTGCACAGGAGCAGAGATCAACTTAGACTTGCCTCTCCGTGTTTCAATAAAAAAGAAAAAAAAAAAGACTCGCTTATCGTGCGCTGGGATATTCTAGAGCCAAGTCTTGCCCGTGTCTAGAATTGTTAGCATGAATGCTCGAACCTGCAGCCTGTGCGCTAGAAAATCGCCGCGGGTCACTGGAAACGGCGAATAAACAAAAAATTGTCCGGCTTATTCACCAATTTCAAAGACTCTGGGACTTTTTAATAATGCGCTAAAAACATCGAGATATTACGGAATTGACACCGCAGTGATACATTCACTTCAATAATCAGAACCATACAATAAAAGACAATCCATTACGTTTTTTCGTCATTTTACAGCTTAATTGGCACATAAACCAATAAGGCTTTTGTGCAAGACGTGGCAGTAGTGGTACAGGGCAACGCTCCAAACGGATGCTTGAACGTGAATATTATATTAATTATGGTTGACCTGCTGGATGCTTTCTTTTTGCGCACGTTACTAAGCAGCACTTTTATCTCTGCCAGAATAGGATGTAAGTTTGATGGAGGTCTATTGAATCTGCGTACTGCGAGCCTCATGGACGCTAAATAAAGCTGTCGTGAGACATTTCTTGTATCGATGCTTTGTGTCTAGTGTGCGCAAAGTCTACCATCATGTAAAAAGCCAAATCCGACGCTCTAATGGCGGCACTACACAGCTTCCACACACCAAAAGCACGAACGTCTTCGAAAGCATTAGAGCAGAAAGGGGAAAAGATGTCGGTCCTTTTACGCCACCTTTGATTTACGAAATCGAGGGTGCTTGATCTAGCCGAGCGTGACCTCCTATCGCCGCCATTAGAGCGGAAATAATAGAGCTTTTGGGACTGCCGCAAGGTGACTCTGACTTTTGAAAGGGATCTGTGCTTCCGGGCGCCGTGACAAAGTCGACCAGCAACTTGAGCTCTCGCGCTGTTCTTCCAACTGATCGAATTGCCTGTTCACAGCGTGACATGTAAATCCTATTTCGTAGTTGGATGCACGTAACAATACGTGCCCACGTCTTTTGTGGTCAGGCTTGGTCGTGTATTTACTCGTTCGGGACTCCCGTTTCAAGACGCTTCGAAGGCGCACTCAGCCTTCTCGAACGTTGGTCTATAGGGAGTATTCACTAGACGCCATATTTGTGGGGGCTGTTTAGAGCGCATGCTCAGAACGAGCTCGCATCAATAGGCTGCTAAGACCGGCACTTTGGTGCGGAATGCACGTTGCAAAAGAACTGTGGAAGCTCGCCATCAGCACGCGCTCAGCATTCGCGCACCAAGCTATGGCCGCCAGTGAATACTCCTTATCGCGCTGTTGCTTCTCACCCGAGCATCCCCTGGCTCGTGCGCAGGGACGCTGACGCACCAGATGCTCAAGTTCCGCGCTGCCAGCGGCTTCCTAATGGCCCAGACATACTTGTCCACGGTGCTGCTCTTCTCGGGATTCTACCTCATCATCTATAGACTTGACGTGAGTGCCTATTCGTACGTTTCCGGCGCGTTGGTGGGTGGATGAATGCATGGATGCACACGGCCGAACCCTGTTAATCGGGCGGTGGCTAGCGAGTCAGTGTAGTTTTCAGCAACGCAGTTGTCGCTCGGAAGCATGGTGTAAGGCGCAAAGACACAAGAAAGAAGACACACACAGACACCAAACTTGTTTTTTTTTTATGTAGTTGTTGTTTTGCGTGACTTACACCATGCTTCCTAACGTTCAACGGCTAGCCCAACTAAAAGTCCTACAGTCGTCGCCTCGCGGATTTCGAGCGACCTTTTCCCAGGATCCATATCGACAGGCGTTCCAGCTATGGAACCTGGAGGGCATCTTTGACTGATGCATTTGCTGCGTCCTCAAAAGGCGTCCCTCCATTTCCGTTCATGACGTCATAAATTGCCACGCTGTTGCCTGCTAAGACTGTGGCGCAGCTGCAGAGTTGAATGCGGCTAGACGCCTGTTCTGCAGCCAGACAGTCGATTGAAACCCCAGCGGACATGGGTCGGGACGCCACGACGATAGCAATCCTTGCGTCCGGTCGCCCTTTGCGCCAGCATTTCTAGGATCAGCCGCCAGGATTCAGACATCTGACGGCATGTCACACCGGCTCCTGTGACAGTCTGTTGCCACTTTGGGGGCCACTTTGGAAGCATGGGCGGACGGGTAGGTGAACACACCAGTCGAAGAAGCCTTCTAAGCACTATAGCTTGAACGTAATGCCGTCTGCTTTTTCATGCTTGACCGGAACGTTGATCTGAGTCGTCGAAGATGTCGCTTGTCTGGACATTTGACCTAAGCCGTCGCCAATACAACTTGCTTCTACTAACCGGCTTTCTTGAGACAACAAATCTAAGCAGGGCAACGGAAGAAACGCTAAGAATGCGCAAGGGAATACGCTACGTATCTAGCGAACCAGTGGGGTCTGAGTTCTACGCTAAACTGGGGTCCTAAACCTTAGTCAAGCAGATAGTGACTGCGCAATTGCAGGCCGCCACGTTGCTTATCCCGGTCAAAACGAGCGAGGATGGGGGATTTTACGACGCGAGCATTAGCTCCGCGTAGTCAAGGAACCGGATGGCCTTCCTTCTCTCCCGCGGGAACCTTCGAGTGACGTCACGGCATACTTCGTGTGACGTCCTTAATTTGCTCGTGTGACGCGTCGGGTTATACATCGGGTATTGCGTGCAGGTTTTTTTTTTTTTTACTTGTTTCGTTCAGTTAGTTGCGACGCTTGCCACTTTTCAGATTTCAATATCCAGCAAGCCCTGCTAAGCGGATTATCCGCGGCCAAGATTTAATCCTGTCCCCCTCGGCTTCGGGCCGCCCAGTTGGGGATAAAAGCGGTGTACTAAGAAGGAAAAGGAAAGCCTCGTAAATGGACTCCTGGAGAAAAAAAAAAGTAGCCCACGTCAAAACAAACTGGTCTGTCTCGCTCTTTATGGAAGTGAAGCTTTCATTCTGATGACTACTTGGTGGGAGTGAAAGCGAAAGCTTCTTATGGTTCCTTTCGAGCGTTTTAAATGCGTCTCCTCTCAGTCGCCTGCGCGCCGTCTCTCGTCTCTTTCGGCTTCTGTTAACTCGGGCCTTCGTAAGAATGACGGCTTAATCCTCATGCTTAATCTCATTACCCCACCTGCGACGGATCGGAGAAAGGTTGCGAACGTCGTTGGCATCGGGCCACTTCGTCGAGAGCTCCTTCGGGCTCTTGCCCGCCACCCTAGACCCCCTTCCTCCGTGAGGCCCCTAAGGGCGTGCTTCGCCACGTGACGCTGCCACATCGCGGGGAAAACCCGCCTCTGATCGACCGCGCGAATGCGGAACGTGAACAATTCGGGTGGGTTTCTCCCGTTTGTGCTTCGAGCGGAGAGTGAGTGACCCCTGACGTGCGGACTAAGAATAATGTTTAAATATCAACGAATCCGTTCAGGCTCGTAGGTATTTCGTCGCGTCCAATTCGCCATCGCGGGTTCTTGCTCCGGGTTGCGACACTGGCGATTTCGATTGAGAAACTCCGGCTCGCTTTGATAGGGTTTCTCTATCGCGTTACGAAAGTGCATCGAATCTCAGAGCTCCGACCAACGACGGCTGTGGCTCGCGACAGCTGACGAAAGTAGCCGGTACAGAAACGAAGCATTTTCCAGCGCGATTCCTGTGCAAGCGCTTTCTGGCGACGCCTCCAGGCAAGACACTGACCGCACTAATTGAAAGATGCGCGAGTTCCCTCAATCACTTTCACAAGCTTAGATAGATGTTTCGTCTCGCGGGAAACTTTTATGGAAGATCTAAAACCAGGGAGAAAGATACCACTTAGTTTGCTTATGTATATAAAAAATACCTTCACTTTTAAAGTCTTCTAATGAATGAAATGCAGCATTTAAGAAGCAATCGTTTTAATATATATAATGTCTTCCTTCTACTTTCTTTTGATTCTCTAGTTTTACTTATTTTACTAGGCTTTATTTATTCACAATTACATATATAACTAAGTTACATTTTATGCAATGTAACTGTCGCGGTATTTTAAGAAGTATTGATGATGTTAATTATTTAATGGATGAGCTTCGGCCCATCACTCACGCTTTACAAGAAAACCATATTCAGTCCAATTTTTTGTAACACTTTAAGACGCTATCAGGTTTTTTTTAGAAAAATTCGTCCCACTTCCACCCCTTCTGGTGGTGGTGCAGTGGTCGTGCAAAGTGGAGTTGTGTACTCTGCTGTTCCCTTCTGCACGCCATTGGAAGCTGTTGCTGTCAGTCTCCTAGCTTCTGAACCGCCTTGCAACAGTTGTTTCTTTATACTTACCGACCAATGTTCCTTTAAACCGTCCAAAGCTGCAGGGACTAGTAAGACAGCTCCCGCGACCTTATTTTATTTTTAGTGACTTTAGCGTCCATCTTCTTATGCGCGGTAGTACCTGTCAAGACTCCCGTGGTAGTCTAATTGGACCTATTTTATTGTCTTCTGCGCTGTGCCTTTCTTCACGGGAGAGGGAAAACAATTTTTAATGCGATACACAACTCGTTCACATCTATTGGCCTTTCTATCGCTTCGCCTTCATTACTTCCTTGCTTTTCCTGGAGGTTTCTTCATAGCCCTTTTGGAAGCGATCATTATCCGGTTATATTAGAGAGCACTGTCCACTTGCCTACTTTTTTTAAAGCGGTACCCTAGGTGCAAGTTAGAGAAGGCTAACTGGTCACTTTTTAATCTTCACTTCACTCTAGATCCTTTGGTTCTTTCTCCTATGTCCCCTGAAGACGCTACAGTCTGTTGCTGACAACATACTAAGTGCTTCTCAACGCTCTACTTGAAAGGTGCGCTAAAGACGTTTCTGAGATCGTCTTTTCTTGGTTATAACTTATCTTACGGGCTCCAAGCATCCTAGAAATCCAAAAATTATGCTTGTGCGACGTCGATTTCATTACTAAAAATGTGATCGAAGTTTGTGCCACTCCCCTTTCTGAGCGTGACGTCAATGTTTGCCGCCAAATTTAACTTGGAAACTAGATTGGTGTATAGTTCACGTGAGGTCGGGTCACGTCACGTGTCGTCAATTTCCCCGCCAAATATTAGCGGGAAAACTGAATTAAATCATAGGTCCTGTAAGGTCAGGTCAAGTGACATACATTTTCCCGCAAAATTTAGCGTGGGAACTGCTCGGACGGACGGACGCACGAACGGACAAAACTTTGGGATTAGGGGGGTTCTGTTAAAAAGCCTTTCGTGCTTTAAAAAGTTTTTTCGGGGCTTAGCAAAACGTCGGCTATCCTTGTCAGACTTCCACAGGTTCGTTTTTGAAGACTGAAATTCAGTTACATAGCATCCCTCTGCTTGCTGTGATTGCATCTACGGTTGCATCCACGATTGCGCCCACGGTTGCGGCCACGGTTGCAACCAAGGTTGCGACCACGGTTGCGACCACTGTTACACCAAACCGTTCGTTTGGATTAGTTTTTTTTTTTTTTTTTTTTTGATGCAAGGACGATGAAGTAGTCGAGAGAGTCTTCGTTGCCTTGCATCGATCAGTATTAGATGAACAAAGGCCCAGCAGAATATTAGTGACTGGAGACCACGTGCCACTTGTGAAGAAGGAAATATATATTGGGGCCTCCTCCGTCTCGCGGTTGAATTTAGTCGAAAATAACTCGGTTTTCTGAGCTTGTAAAGGTAGGACTCAATCGATAGGTATTTACTAGCATCTATTCACCATGCGTCCGGTCCAACACATAATGTAACAAAACAAACCTTGGCGGACCGCAACCAAAAAAAAAAAACGCATTAAAAAAAATAATGCAAACAAAACGTGCTTATTTTTGGCTAAGTTGCACAAGATTTTTCCCGTCTCATAAGCCAGAATCAAAAAAAGAAATTATGTTTGGTGACCGCCGATTATATATCGTGCCATCTAGGCACTATTCACACACAAATGAGATACCCGATCCAGCGCAAAACCAGTGAACACAGCGAAGTCGAAAGGAATTTTGCTTCCTCTTCATTTTGGGGTCGTTGCCCCGTCTATTGGCCCCGCAACGAACGCGCAACGCCATATTTCAAAGCACATACTGACTTCCGGTTCTATTAACGTCCATACACCCGATTTCCTATACTCGCGTGAAACCCTAAGCTTATTTTCATTTTTGCTCCCATTGAACGTCAGGAACCTGCAACCCACGAGAAAAGCGAGCAACCAACTCTGGCCGGTGCGTGCTGGAGAATAATACTCGCGCTCATGCTTTCCATAATTTCACCTTTGTTTACAGAAGCGTGACAGAGGCGCATACGTCGGCAAGGTTCTTCCATATTTTTTCCTTTCGCTGTTTGTACCGAAGCTCTACCTCCGACCCGCTCGACTTGGCGTGCTTTTAACCTGTCCGGCAGCGCCTCCCCTGCCTTCGTGAAAATTATATGGGACCGCCGTATTCTGCGCGATAACTGATTTATCGACGGAAAAGCGCGGCAAACTACGTGCCCAC